CACGACCTCCTCGTTCTTAAGGAGCTGTTGACATCTCGCCTCGATTAACTCTTCAGTGGTCATTTGCGGATCATCATCTAACCTATTCCAGGTAGGTACCAAGGCTTCCACAGGAAAGTCGATCTCTCTTCCGTACCAAACCTCTGCCGGGATACATCCTGTTGTCCTTTTAGGGGTCATATTCTCTGCAAAGACAACCTGCTTAAGATACCTAGGTCAGTTCCCCAGATGATCCGCTGCGAGCTTTGCAATCGTGTTCTTCAAGGTTCGGTGCTCCCTTTTTACGGGTGCATTGGCCTCAGGCTGATACGACTCGATGAGTTTAATCGGTACGCAGAGTCTCTTAAGCATCCCCAATACTTCTTGGTTCACAAACTCCGTCCCATTGTCTGCTATAAACCTCCTGACGAACGGATGCCTCAAGTAGAAGTCTTCTATCAGTTCGCCACACTCCTCCCTGTCTTTTTTTTTAGGGCGACTGCCTCCACGAACCCACTCAGGTTGTCTCGCGCATCCAGGATATACTTGTACCCATCCGTTGATACAGGCATGACCGCAAGGTCGAGGTGGACCAGATGCCCCGGCCCTAGCACCTGCGTTGGTCTAAGCGGCTCGAAGACCCGCACCAGCTTCGTTCTTGGCAAATAAGGCAAGTCTGGCAGTATATGGCGACCATGCCTGCCATGCCTGCCCAATAATAGAGTGGCGTCATCTTTGCAAACGTTCCTTTGGACGACCGATGACCTCCAGCCAACCCATCGTGCATTGCCTGGATAACGTCTACTTACCTAGATCTTTCGCACACAACCCTTCTGGTCATAGCACCTTTCTCCCTTCGGAACAAATGCCCGCCCCTTAGGACGTACCTTTCGGCTTCTTCTCTTGCTTTAATACTGACTTCCGTAGGTTGTTTGTTTCCTACCAACAACAACTCGATCTCCCGAAAGAGCCCTTCGTATGATTGGACATAGAAAAACTTTTCCCTTTCCTGGCCCCCATCCTTTCCTTCCTGCATCTGATTTACCACCCATTGCAACTCCTTCCTTTCCCAAGATTCTACTAAGCTCATTACTGCTTCCCGGCCTCCCTCGACTGCCATTGCTATCAGTTCCTCTTTTGGCCCTACTATCGCTCCCCATGAGTCCTTTGCCTCGCTGCGTCCTCGAGTAGTAACTGCTCCTTCTCTAAGTTTTGCTACTACGGCAGGTGCCCCCTTCTCCAAAGTCTGGATCAATAGTTCTCCCGACGTGCATCCTTCGCTCATCCTTTTGTTATCCACCGCAAGAGTTCCTCCTTCGTATTCGAGGAACGCGTCTATGGCTCCGCATCCTCCACCCCTTCGGGAGTGATGCAGACCCGGCTCAGCCCATCAGCCTTGTTCCTAATTCCCGCAATCCGTTCGATCTTATAATCGAACTGCCAGATAAACCCTACCCATCTCCCCACCGTCGGATCTATAGGCCTGTAATTCTTTAAGGCCCCTGCAACATTCGTCGGATCGATCATGAGGATGAACCGCCTCCCAAATAGGTAGACCTGAAAAGTCTTAAGACAATGCAAGATGGCTAGGACCTCTTTCTTGAACTGTGAGTACCGCCGCTCTGCGGAGTTCAGGGTTCTACTTTCAAACCTAATTGGCCTCTCTTTCCTCCCTCATCCCTTTGAATCAACACACCTCCTACGACCAAAGGTCCTCCATCCGTCTCTAGGATGAAGGGTCGTCCTACTTCGTCATTAAAACAAGGCGCGGACAGGGCGACTGTCTCAGATGTCAATATGTCCTTGAGCTTTTGGACAGCTCCTTCTCGTTCCTCCGTCGAGTTTATGGTTCGTTCTTCCCTGATCATAGCCCGGATAGACTCAACAATCTTGGCAAAGTTCTTAATGAAGATCCTCCAAAAGCCGACTACGCCTAGGAATGCCCTTACCTCCGTCGTCGTGCGCAATGGTGTCGGCCACTGTGATATCTTGTCGGTCTTTCACGGATCCGGTTTCCTACCGTAAGCACCGCAACGAAATCCTAGTATAGTTACCTCTGGTACTGCTAGGATACTCTTTGGTCCACTAGCCGTAATGTTGTATACTAGGAACCGGTGGAGTAAGTCCTTGATGTCCTGCAGGTGGTCCCACACAAAACTTCGGATCCCTGGCTGGACTTCCGTCTCGTCCTTCTCCTGTGCGCCTTTGATCGGATTTTCATCGATGTAAGACTCACATTTTTCTGGGAACATGTCCCCGGCCATGGCGAGCATCCTGCGTACGGGGGTGTGCATAGCGGTGTTTGACCTATCCCGAACATCCAACGGAAGTTGGTCGTACCCTTAGTACAGATCTATCAAGGAGTAAATGCTCCGACCAGCGTGCGATTCTGCTAATAAGTCAGCCTGAGGTAGCGAGCCAGCATCCCGGATGGTTACCGCATTCAACTTTTGCAGGTCCTGGATCCACCTTAGTGTCTTGTTAAGCTTCTGAAAGACGAACCACCGGTTTGCGTATGGCGACGTCATAGGCTCCGCAACGAAGGAGTCCATTTTCGCCAGGAGGAGGTCTGTTACTTCTCCTGCTATCCCAAATTCATAGGACGGCCCCTTGTCATTCCAGCGTTCATGTTCTACTGTGTGGATTCTGACCGAAGGGATCAGCTTCGCATCCAGTCGTCCCTTCTGGTGATCACTAAAGGCAAATGTCAGGTGAAACTCCTGGCAGGTCCTTTTGATCAGGCGGGTTTCTTCTTCCGTTAAGAACCCGTCTATCCCTATCTTCATTGTGTCAGCTACCTCATCTAGTATCCGATGTCCCTCAGCGCCCTTCTTTCTCGGATCACTCGAAGGACCTCTTCCTCCTTCTCCATAGCCTCTTCCTTTGATGTCTCTAGCAGGATCGAGACCGGATTTGCTTTCTTCCCTACCGGCTTGTACTTTCGAACACTTCCTTCCGGGATCTTTCTCCTAAAAAATGAACGGTCGGAATTGCCCTCGTCGCCTCTACGACTCGTGGTTGAATACTAACTAGCTTCCCATTCAGGCAATATCCCCTTTGCACCTCTCCTTCGAACTTGGCCAAGGCTGCTGAGTCTACTCCTACCTTGTGGTATCTGAGGGCCTTGATGAGTTGTGATAGGTCGAGGATCTCGAGTGCGACTTCCGACATGTCTGGGCGTACTTCTTTCCGCTTGGGCAGGCTAGCACCAAGTTCGACCTCTGACTCCTTTTCTGCTACCATAACGCCTAGGACTTCGTCCTCCTGCGTCCTCTTCTTCTGGGGCAGGCCCATCTTGATCCACTCCTTGTTGAATGCTTCCTCAATCATGATTTCTACCCTTTCTCTCATACCCTCCATCCGTGCGAAAACCCCTTTTTCGCGTGCTATCCTCGAACGACAGTGACCATGTTGCTAATTTTCCCTTCGGGGGGTCTCCTCTCGTTCCAAGGAGTCGAAGGAGCTCTCCCTGGCCGGTCACGGGGTCCTCTATGTCTATCATGTATGAGCCATCATCCAAGTGCATGCTTATCATCTCCACGTTCGCACACCATGGTCTCCCGAGGATTATGTCGTGGTTCATTTCCTCCATTACGGTCATCCGCTGAAACGACCAGATCGATTCCCTGACTCCTTCCTTTACAGCGCACTTCGTGACGTACCCTGCGAACGGGATTTCCCCGCCAGCTCCCCGGATGCTCCCTGTTACTTCCTTGTTTACCGTACATCCCGTAATCGTTGCGAAATCTCTTCTTATGAGAGTGATTTCTGCTCCCCCGTCTACTAATGCGTCCCGATCTAGATTTTCAGTTTCCCTACGGGCAGCGCATGATAGCTAAGCTTCATCCCGGGTGGTGATCTCATGACTTCGCCTCCCTCTCGGTCGGGCAAACTCAAACGAATGTCTGCAAAGGCTTTTTCGAGATCCTCCAAGTCCCCGTGACTCCTCTGAAGGTTAGCCACTTCTTGTGGAGCTTCCTCCTCCCTCTACCTTTCTGGTAATTCGGGGTTGTCGCCTATTTCTACCCGCCTCCGAGTCAACAGTTGTCTGAGCCCTTTGAGCAACCTACGGCTAGCCTGCAGCATGGTCTGAAAAGACACCGACACCATGGTTCCTAGTAACTTGCTAATGGTGTCGTCGAGCTCAGGCAAGGTTAAGATCAGGATTTGATACCGAAACTTCTTCTTAGCGGCGGTAACCTAGTCCGCAGGCTCCTCTTCCCTAGGCTTCCCATAGACTTTTTCTGGTTCCTCGGCCTCAGGCTCTGCCTGGGGTTCGGAGCTTCCGGCGACCTCCATAATAGTGTCACGGTTAATCCTTCTCCCGGCCGTTCCCAGTCGAGTGGTTGCGTTCACCCTATCACGTCCGTCGTTTTCCAAAATAAAGTTGACCTGCGGCCCGCGGCCCCGCAGTTGATCCCAAATGATATCGACCATCGGGTCAGCTTCTACGGCCGTTATCTCTAATCCGTTGAGCATGATAACGGCTCGTCGCATTCCCCCTGGTGAGTTCCAATTCACCCGCTCTCCCTGTGGTCCGAATATCTCTCCCTTTAATGACCTGGTGCATCTCTTCTTTAAGATATCATGGTTGAGCTTTGGACATGCCCGTACATAATGTCCCATCGCGGTGCAGTACTTGCATTGCTCGTTAGCAGGATCTCTCCGTCCGAATCCCCGGTTGGCTACACCTGGCGGAACCACAGCTTTCTGGGGAGGGAGGGCGGGTCGGGATACTTGCGCCTGCACAACCAGTGGTGCACCCTCCATCCTTTCAATCTTATTGTCGACCCCGTGCACCCGCTCATCTAGACTTTCAATCCCCTTCTTTACCTTGTTGCCTGTTCTACCGGTCAGATCTATGACCTCCCCTTCCTTAAGCAAGGCCAATGTCTCCGTTACTACCGTCTTTTCGGCCAAATCCGTTACCGTACTGAAATCAACGTCCCTAGTGTTTACAAATTTGCTCGTCTGTTGGTAAGCCGACAAAATCTTGTCCTTGTCGAACTCGGAGAACTGTCTGAGGAAGTACTTATTCATTATTCGGTCCGTAACCCCGGGGATTCTTAGTGCTACCAAAGTAAACTCCCGTAGGAAGTCATTGTACGTTGCGAAGTTCTTCCTCTAGACTGCCACTAAATCGGCCTCCGTTGCCATCTTCTCTGCTGCCAGATATTTTCTCATCATCACATCCCGGGTTTCTTTCCAAGACCAGCTCGCGGCCACAATGGCCATTATGTCCCGCCCTAGGCTCAAAGACACATGCTGCCCCAGGTGGTCCATCTTCTCTTCTTCGGTCCATTTCAACATCGCAACTAGATTTTCGTTGTCTATCAGGAATTCCGTGATGTTCGCCCCATCGAACGTCAACTTTTTCTTAGCATCCGCTAGGTAGCCTTGATTTTTGTTTAGTGCTCGCGCGAGGGACGACACTATCTTCTTAAGGCCGCCCTCGGAGCTGTTGGCCTCGCCTGCCATAGCGTTATCCGGATCTTCCTTGCCGGCCTTCTGTCCCTCCCTGGTTTTCATAGTTCCTTCTGGGTCAAACCATCCCAACACTCTTTCCCTAAGGCTCCAAAGTCCTTCGCATCCTCGTGTTACTGCTGGCGTGGTCGGCAGGCGGCTAGCCCTACCATCCATGGCTGGCAGAGTCGTAGCCTTTTCTACTTCCATCCCCGGAGAGTTCTCTCTCTTTTTCCTTCTCTTGCTTGGCGTTCCCCCACGGTCACTACCCTTATCCCCTTGTCCAGTCCCACCTCGGCTGGCTCTCCGTTCGTCCCGGGGTTCCTCCTGCAGAGGGCCTTCTTCGTTCCCAGTCATCATTTCCTCAATCAATCTTGCCTTGTATTCCGCGGTCCTTTTTTCTATCTCGGTTAGTTTGTGCCTCGCATCCGTGACCCTTACTTTCTTAGACATGGCTCCTTCCGAGTTCCGGGGGCTTGTCCTATCCTTATTTATGCCCTCCTTGGTCTCCTGAATCCTTTGCCTGCTTCCCCCGACTTTCCCCGAGCTTTCTCCTATGGAGATTTCCTTCCGGTTCCCTTTGGTACTATCCGGATTTATCGATTCTCTGTCCTTCTGCCCCCCTTCGCTTTGTACGGCACTGCCTCCTAAACCATGTTTTCCCTCACTTTTACGGTTATCTGTTTCCTCCTCTATTGCCATTTTTGCCTAGTTCTGCATAAGCCAAAGAATTCCCAGGACACACGCAATGCGAGGTATTTAGGTTCCCTAGGCTCCCGACTCTGTTGGCTTATATTTATAGCCCCTTTTTCTATCCCCGTTTCCTGATTGGCCTTCCTTAAGGAGGAGCCACGACTGGCCTTGCCGCCTAGCCAAGCTATGAGCGTGACTTGGCTTCCTTTGTCACAAGCTCGTTTGTAGTGCCCTTGTCCCGTCGGGCCGACGCGAGGGAGTCCGGGTTCGGCATTCTGCTAGGGAAAGTCTTCCTGAGCAGTGTTTCCTATTTTTGACCTTCAGGGTTATGGTCAATCATTAGGAGTCTACCCCCTTCTTTGTTTTTCTAGTGGGTTTTAGCCATCCGGGTCCGAGGCCCCTTTCTTATTCCCATCGGGGAATTTCCGTACACAGCGAACTATACTCGATCTGCCCTATTAGCCTGCCTGCGGATGCTAGACCCGCTCTCGCCCTCGCGGCTCTTCTGGTTCGGTTGGCTCCTCGAATAGTTCAGCAACCCCTGCTAAATAACTCTCTCCTATCTCAATTTCCCTCTTGATTATGCGTTCGCATCCCACCCAGTCTAGCCGTGGCGCCCTAAACATCAAGATGTGGATGACTTCCAGTAACTCGTGGGCCCTGTTTCCCCAGAACGGACAATGCTCCACTACGACATCGTAGAACATCCTAATGGTAAGGGAGGGAAAGTGGCCTGCCCAGAGTATCGCTGAGTCTGCCAGCTCCCGCGCCCTCACGAGGCTTCCGAAGACGAGGTCTATCATAAAACGGGGCACTCGGCATCTTAGCGGTGTGGTTGGTGCTCTGAACTCCCTCCACCCTCCCATTTCCACCTGGGTAAGTAAGCCCACGTTCCTTCTTCCCCTGACCGATTGTCCTATCCGGGTCAACGTCCGGGCGGCCCTTCGAAAGACCGGTGCCAGCTCATGACCTCGTGCTATTTCTACCCCCAACGAGTGCCAACCGATCTCAGGCAGATACATGGTCCTAGTAACTTCCAGATTGGAATACAGATCGTCCCCGGGTCCTCGATTGAATCTCATCCCTGTCCATCGACAGTCTACCAATATGAAGGCGGTCTCGTTCCAAAGTCACGGCCCGCCATTCTATGTCGAATCCCCGATAGGTAGAACTCGACGGGAGGGATACTTCCCATCATCCACCGTTATTCCAAGGCAGTCCGGGGTACCGGGGCTGGCGTTCCATTCGCACACGGGGCTGGCGTTCCATTCGCTCACGTCTTGCTGCCATCATTGCCTTGGTAATTCCCTGCATTGTCCACATAGAAAGGGTTACAGCCAATCCCCAGAAACCGCCCACCTACTGCCTTTCTTGTCCTTCGTGTTTTCATTCCTCTTTTCTAGTCCCACTATCCCTCCATACCCCTGGGAGTAGTAGCCCCCTCTGGCAGCTCGTACAGCCGGTGGAGATCATCTACGTAGGTCGCGCCCCGACCTACCTCCTGCCGGATGACTCTCAACATGAGCTCATCACTTATCTGTGGGACTCCCAGCCTAGTATTTACTACTGCTCGTAGAATGCAAAGCACCTCGCGCCCTTGTTCGTCCCCGAAAGGCCCCATCTCTAGGAAGGCCCGATAGTATTCTCGATACATTAATGCTTCGTCAAGATTTAGCCTAGTTACGGCAGTCACCGCCTGCTCCACTCGTTCTATGCCTCCCATTCGTCTTAGCAGAAAGGGTGGTAGAATCATTCGTACGACCTCATTTGGCAGCTCGAAAAATGCCACCGCGGCGATTTTTACCTCCGCCGTCACGTCATCTCGTTCCGGGTCTGCAAACTCAAACCCTCCCCCCAGGTTATTTGCCATGCCCCTTCGAACATTCGCACGGGGTCATCCCCGGAAGCCAAGGCAATCCCAAAGGTCCGCCATCCCTCTTCCGACAGGTGTAAGGATCCTGTCGCATATACACGCCCTGGGAGGTTTTAGTCTACGCCCCCGAACTCCCCTCTCGCACGCCATTCCAACTCCACTACTAGGTACACCGTATCTTCCACCAACTCTACCCCCACCCAGTCCATTAACGGATTGCTTACCGCATTTCTTGCCGGCAGGCTTATTTCGACCCTGCCTTCTGATATTCTTGGTGGCAGAATCCCAGGAGGTCTATCCTCCCAGAACGTCATTCGCCGGGCCATCTTGCAATGTCTCCTTTCCTGCTTTCTTAGTCCGATTGCTGCACCCACCGAGATTCCATGCCTTTCGTGTTTTAGTCTTTCAGCCCTCCCTACTTATCGTACACTGGTTCTTGCCGCTATCCCCAACTCATACACGTTCAATTCTACCCCCCTCTCCATTTTCCGGTTGCTGCCACTTCCCCCTTGTTTCGATCCTTATGCACCATCTACGGCCTAATGTACACACTCCCTTTCTTATGTTACACCTCAATTCACAAACACCCTCCATACTCAGGCCTTTTCGCGGTGTTCGATCCCTTGGCCTCATTCAGTCGAACCACAGTACCTCAAATAGTTTAAAGACATCGTCTACGTAGGAGGGTGCGGCCGTCGCCTCCCGGCTAACTATGGCGTCCCAAGATTCCGCCTCTACCTCTAGGCGGTCATACCTGCCTATTCTTAGGACGATGATGACTTCCTCGGCTTTATCTCCGTAGAAGGGCCCATATTTCAATGAGAGCCTATATAACTCCTCAGTCAGCCAGGCACACTCTATATGCACCTTTCTCATGGAGTCGGCTACTTCTAAAATGTGCTCAAACCCCCCAACCCACTCGGCTATGAACTCCGGTACCCAAGTCGTTATCTGTAGACTTGGAGGCTTAAGTTCCTTTCATCCTCCCATCACAACTCTGCTACTAACTTCGTCCCATCCCTCGTTGACGAACCGCTTGCCTTCTTTTCGGGTTCGGGCCTCTGCATCCCCTAGAAGCCACATCGGGTCCTGTCCCATTGCTAACATGGTGCAAAACAGGTGTCATCCATCCTCGGAAAGGACAATCGTTCCGACTAACTCTACCTTGCCTTCTGCTATATCATCCCAACCTTCCTCTTCCCTTATCGGGTTCCAAATCCGCTCTATCCATACATATGACAAGTCCCGGGCAACCTCAAACCCAATCCAGTCGCACGTGGTCCCCCTCCATCCGTTCCCTGTTGGTATAGGCATTTTTATTCCTCCTCCGAGTCGCCGTGGTTCCCAGCCTTTGAAGGTGTATTCCATCATCCTTTCTTCTCTAGTCAT